GAGCATTAGCTTTTAGGGGCCACCTTCCCTTCTATGCCCATAGGGCCTCTCCACTGTAGCTGTGGGAAGAAGATTCCTTAGCTGAAATAGTGGAGAGGGAAGACTATGGTCTTCTTCAGCCCTACAAAATCGTGACAAGGAGCATGGCAGAGGTTGCAAAGCGTGCGACCCACTGTTGGCTTAGTCTCTGGGCTTTAGAGATAGTGACGGGAGAAGGGAGTCTGAAGTAGCAGGGCAAATGTTGCGAACACAGCCTTAAAGAACCTTCAAAACGAACCTGAGGCGGCAGGCGGATGGAAGGAGGGTGGTTAATAAAATACAGATAAGGAATTAACATGGTCAGTTGTTAGGTTTGGAGTCCAACATAAAGCATAGTTGTACAACTAATTAAAAATCAGGCTAAGACAACTTAATTTTAGCTCTCAGCATCAGAACTCCGGGTGTAGTGCTAATGAACTTAGGCTCTCTCTAGGAGACAAAGGGAACATGGAGCGATAGCTAAGCAGGGGATAAGTTGTTCCATCCTAAATTGCTATGGCCTTCTGTTGGTTTCATGAAGGTATCCCCTGTATGTTTTGGATTCATTGCATTGTGCCTTCAGATCCAATCCACAAATAGGGAGTGGTTTCACGTCCACTTTTAGACATTTGTCAAGCCTTCCTCCACACCCTTTCAGGACATTTGATCACAGGCTAGTAGACTCAAAATGAGGGGATGAAAAACATAAGGACCAATTTATTATTTTCATTTTAATATTTGTTTAGTCATAGGCTCTCTTCTGTAAGTCACATACACCCTCAACATGTATATAGACACCGCTTCAAGCCAGTTAGTGCTGTAACTAGTGAGAGCCAGCCTCTTCCCTGGAGAATTCAAAGGTGAGGGTACTACAAGTCATTTAGATATATCACTTTAATAGATGAGAATTAGTGGTCCTATCAGACAAGAAATGCACATGTGGAGAATACAGGATTACACCAAGTTCACAAGTCTTTATACCTCAAAGATGATACATTTAAATCTCATATTTAGACACACTTGCGTATAATTGGGATGGTTTCTTACTCTTCTCTATTCCGGGTGCTTTGTGCCCTGTGACATTCTGAGAGAACACTCTCTGTGTGTGTCCTCCTATAGGCTGCCAGAGAACCCCAGAGCAGCTAACACATAACACAAAATATGCCCACCATCACCCCTTGAGCATTTGACATCCACAGAGTGGGAGATGAGGGTCAGGGCCAGGCTCTCCTTGTAGCTCCTCTTGCCTTCTGTGTAGAATAAAGGAGGAAGGTCTTCTGCATAAGTCTGTTCTCCAGGGAAGCTTGTCACCTGTAGGCCTAAAATTAATGGCTAAGCAATAATAGAACCTCGAGTGGCATGAAAGGCTGCAGGACTGGACCGGACAGTACACTCCCTATACACAGAGGCTTGGGACACAACCTGTGTGAAGGATTTGACACTTGGCACAAACAGAATTCAGGTGATGTGCTGTGAGAGTCACTGTTAAAGGCCCTGGCCCATTCGTTACCTTTGGCTTTAATATCTCACAGACATTGTCCGCCATAAACAAACCCATTTCTTCCCAAGTCCATTTTAGCATAGAAAAGCCGTAGAATAGAGAACAGAAATAAAGGGATCTCAACCATGACACTGGTGCCCTGTGTTAAAGGAGTGCCAAAGACATGCGCAGAATTGTAGATGCCTGCAATTTTAAAATAATTTGTCGGTTCAGATTTAAAACTGGTTTCTAGATACACAATTGATTACTAAATTTGGGATCATAGTTCTACAAAATCATACCAGGTCCATAACACTATTGGAATATTCAGAAAGACTTAAATTTCTTCAACTTTACTAATAAGTTTAACAATCTAGGTCTGTAAAAACAATAAAGGCTTAGGAAAATTTGTTGGTGAAAATAAAGACATGTAAAATATTTAGTTGGTCACTACAAATGAATTTGAAGGTTTAAAGAAAAATCTATTATTTAAGTCTCAAAGTAAACCACTTAAAACTTGGGGGTTAAAATTTTCTGTGCTTAAAATTGGAGCAGCAGAGACTGGGAGTGTCAGGCTACTGCCCTTACCGAGCATGGGAAAGGCTCCAAGTTGGATCCTCACCAATGCAATACTTAAATAGAAACAGATTTTTTCAAATTTAATTTAAAAGGACTCCATTTTGAGATTTTTTTTAAAGTAGGTGAATCTAGAAGCCTAATTATTCAATCCATTAAACAGCTTTTGAAGGCATACATCCCTCTACACATAAAGCAACACTACCTTTCCCTTGGCATTAATATTGTGGAAGTTCGGATTTTTGTATGTCTGTCCTCTATTCTTTTTCTTTTATTTATCTGACTTTAACAGAATACAAACTTTTGGGGTCTATTCTTATGTATATCAACTTTTCTTTTATCAATCCTAGCAATCATTTACTTGTGCTTGGAAGAGATCCATCCTTACTTTGATTTCTGGTTTTTCCTGTAATACGGTGGTGAATTGCAACCTCACCTAATTCAAAGGAGAATTAGCACCTTGATAATCTCCTATAGTGATGGGGGTGATATCAAGGTAAGCACCTTGATAATCTTTTATAGTGATGGGGTGATATCAAGGTTAATAAAAGTACAGTCAGGATCTGGCCTCCCATTTTAAGATGCAGTAAGGGCCGCAATTGCTAGGGTGAGGAAATTGGGAATGAGAAAGAGCGTGGAAGAGCTGGTGCCCTCCAACAGCGAAGGTAACAGCTCCCCTCGCTCACAGTTCTGTCTGCACAGCCAGTGCATCATTCCTGCTGACTGATTTCAAGGGTTTCTTCTCTGGTTTATGGTGATATAACCTGAGATACCAGTGAAGGAGATACAGCAAAGCTTCAGAAACTGAGCCTTCAGGTTTGAGACGGCTAAGACAATGCAGGGAGTAAAGGGGGTGGGATTTCCATCTCTGTCCTGTCTTTGATGAAGTCTTGTCCTGGCACAGTCTAATCCTTTGGAAACATACACACCATAATTTCACATAAAGATGGAACATGGGTGCCATTTTTCTTCATAAAAAGACCTCTGGGGAAGGACCCTTGGGAAATGTCAGCGATGCACCTCCCCATTTTGGGTTCTCCTTCCCAGATTTATCTTTCTTCACGTCACTCATTGCCTTGATTTGTAGTTTTAATTTTACTTTGCTGTTGCCTGGTTCTCCCCCAGGAATGTGTGTCTGATGGAGACAGCAACTCTGGCTTGAGCATCGTTCTGTTCTTAGCTTACCGAACACTTTCTAGCCTTTGGAAATGGGATAACAAATACCTGGTGAATGAATGCCCCCATTTCTATCCACTCCACAGGCTGATAAACATGACAGACTGTTTTCCTCATCTCACCTCTGATCTAGAGTAGAAACCCTTAATACTTTTGTTATACTTGTCATTATTTTGGACAACTTACTGAAATACATTTTTTGATAAACCAAAATCTTTATAGCTTCTAAGAATGGACTGAGACTTTCTGGCACAGGATGAAGGAAATACATAAAAGACTTTCCTATTTGAGATCCCAGTTAGTGAAATATCTAGTAAGATTTTTCATGCTGTTCCAAAAACAGTATTCATAAAACACAACCTCAACAGTATAGTCATACAATTTCAAGAGAAGTTTTATTTCAGGAGCTGTACAAAACATCCCCAAACTAGTCTTAGACCCGGATGTTTTGAGAACTCCGAGTTACAACTTACTTATAGGTCTCTGGGTTAAAGCTTGGAGAAGTAGTGATCTCTGCACGTAGATTATCAGTGACTTCTGTCTCAACTCACTGCACTGACTGTTGACTTGTTGATCTGAAACTCAAATGTGACAGCCACAGTGTGTTGTTAGACCCTTAAGTCTGAACACACATGGGTAGAACATGATCCCCAGAGGACCATGACACATTGGTACCTCATACTTCAAAGTGCTCAAGACACACCTTTGGTCACTTCCATCTGTCATTTTAAAAGCTATGTAACAAAATGAACACTCCCAGTTCATGGGCCTGAAGAATATAATCTTCTCTCTTTAGGATCCCTGTATTGTGTATATGATGGGGCAGCTTCTAGGTTTGTTGGAGTTCTAGAATGCCAGGGAACCTTCCAGGTTTCATTGTCTGTGTTTCAGCTGCGTGGGTAGAGAGGCCATGTCACTTCCTCCAAATTTAGTTCATCTCTCAGGATTCCTGCATCCTTTCCTTCTTCCATCACAGCAGGCTTTTCTGTGTAACAATGTGTTAAGTTAGTTCTCCACTTGCTGACATTTGTGATTCATAAAATGTGATATTAAGAAAGGGTCTCTGTGTTTATTAAGTAAATTTGACCTCTTGCTTTAGAGTGGAGAGTCATCTTTTTGGCCCTTTGACTATGGCCAAATGTAGAGAAGATGCATTGGTTTATGAGAGATGTGGAGAGGGGTTAAGGGTGATATATATATATATATATATATATATATATCACCACTGGGAGATTCTTGGCCTGCATGGCACAAGGCTCTGACTTTTTAGCCTAGGATTATATGCAGTGGTTCTCAACCTTCCTACTGCTGTATCCCTTAGTACAGTTTCTCATGTTGTGGTGACCCTGATCATAAAATTATTTTCATTGTTACTTCTTAACTGTAATTTTGCTATTGTTATGAATCATAATGTAAATATCTATGTTTTCTGATAGTCTTTTGTAACTCACAAGTTGAGAACCACTGGTATAAAGGCATGTTGTTTAATCCTTTATCTGTTTAACAGAGCAAATGGCATGGTGGTCATGCTAGGCTATGCTAATACCACAATGCCCCTTTCCTAGTCTCCAACGTCTTTGAAACCATGTATCTTAATGTCATTCACTTTTAGAAAGCTCACAGGAAGACTTCTGGTCTACCTTTTGCATCAAGCTTTCCATATAAATGTCTCAAAGAAAGGGATTTCTGTCCGTGCAGGTTTTTCTGTTATTATGCAAAGGTGAGATATATATCAATAAACAAATGAGGATTTGAGGTTTTTTCACAAAGGTGCATGCATTCATTTATTTTTTCATTGTGTCCACAAGATAAACAAATAACATGCAACATTTAATGAATTACAAGCGATGACAAGGCTATGTCTCTTTAAGGTATCATCAGGAAAATAAAACAAATAATTTTCATAATATGAACATGAAACTATACATAACTTTGGAAAAATGATTGCTCTTGGACACCACGGCATGCATAATATGCAAACTGAATTTATCACCCAAGGTACTCTCAAAGACGTCAGAAAGTGAGACATTTATAAGTCCAACACTTTATCAAAACTGGAAATACAAACAACATGGAGTCAGCCTCAGACAGCTGTTCTTCAGACAAAGGTCAAGAAAGAAAGCCATGAACAAAGGCAAATGCAACAAGAGAAGACTTATTTAGAATGGGTGCCCATTAAAATCACACTTCCTCTTCAGATTCGTGTTCACGTTCAGCATTTTTCAGGAGTCCGACCTCTGAGGTGCAGCCCTTCCTAAGTCTAGATTTAATTAACCTGAGGAAGAAGAAAATTACTTGTTACATGATATCAAGGGTCAAAACTTTACAGCAATATGCAGATTATTCCCACAGCAAATAGAGGCAGTCCCCAAAGTGAAATGATTTCTACGTGACTTGGAGATACTTGAAAATGTGTATTGACTACAGCAATGTCTAAGTAAAAAGAAAAGACGTGTCTCTCAAACGCATTATGAGATTGCTTAACTATGTACAACTGTTTGCTTATAAAACCAGCAGGGGACTCTACTGACTGTGACAAATGAGACATTGGAGGAACATCTGCATCAAACCCATAACTACCTATGGATTGCAAAGAGACATCATCTCCTTTAAGGAAGCACATGCCCTTTCCCTAGAGTGACAGACCAAGGGAAGCCATGTGTCAAGCCTGGGTTGAATTTCTCTTTATGAAAATTTTTTTTCAGCCTGTTTACATTCTGATTTTTACCGCCTCTCTTTCTCTTTCCATTAAGTTCTGGCCCGTTCTATTCATACACTACGTCACTCCTGTGCTCTGGATCTTCACTGACTCCATCCCATTTGTTAGCATAACCCAAGCCAGAGTCAGAAGTGATCCTAACCTCTAACACTGACACATTTGACACAGCTCGGACATTTGGAGCAATCTGACAGGCCACGTGGCTCATCTATGAACAGAGGCTGCCCGCTCTTCTGCTACTGCCAACTAACACTAACGCATCTAATAAACCACCTCTGGTGGTTCAACAGCCAAGAAAAACTGCTCAGTTGTTTGCCTCCTTTGTTGACTATTGATATTGTTCATAGGTTCGAAACACTCCAAGCCACCTCCTCTTTGGAAGGCTGATTAAGGGTTGGAGAGCACTTGTGTGATCTTATAAAAGCCCACACATTCTTTCCACAAAGCTCAACATCAGTCTGTGTAGGATGAAAGGGATTAATCAGCTATGTTCATTTCTGAAGACTCGTGTGGAAAATGAATGACTCGTGGCTGCTTACTGGGAATGAAATGTTAACATAGACCCAGTCACTCCCACTGCCTCCTGTTCTTTCTCTCTGGGTTGTAGCTGTGTTGTAAGCCATGAAGCTCAGACACATTCACACCTTTATAGGGTTCTAGGCATCTGTAGCCCACATACAGAAATGGTTCTGTGAGGTAGGGTACGAGCTGGGGTAAGGAACTGCAGCCTGGCATTGTGGTGCACACCTTTAAACCACCACTCGGGAGGCAGAGGCAGGCTGATCTCTGTGAGTTCGAAGCCACCCTGGTCTACATAATCAGTTCTAGAGCAGTCAAGACCACACAGTGAGACCCTGTCTCAGAAACAAAATAACCCCCCACTCAAAACAACACCTACCCCAATAATAACACAAAAGAAATACCCAGACACAATTGCCAGTTACTAGAATGGGGGAAAATTTGGGAATCAAAATCAAGGTGTGTCTCTACTCTTGCTTCATGTTCTCATAAATTACTGTGAAAAAGAGCAGACCTGACACAAGAAACTTGTGTGCTTGGTGTGTTAACAGGCCCTGCTTTGTTCTTCACAATGGCTCACATGACTCACAGCTTGGAAAGCCCATCTGAAAATAGGCAATGCTTCCTTACTCATAGGCAGCAGCTATCGAAATAGTTATTTGCCACAGAAATATATGTGTGTGTGACACATTAAATATGCAACAATATTTCCAAAGAGATAGGTTTCACCTACAAGCTTGCACAATCAAGGCTGTAGGCAGAGAATAGAATGTGGCAATCTTGAACCACTATTTTGCAAAACTGGGACATTTTGCATCATCTTTCAAGGATTTGAGGAGGAGAATTCCATAACTTAGATGTGCTTGTGTGACAATTATTGTGCTATGTCAAACAACTCGGATAGAATGTCTGACGTTTAATGATTTGGGGGATAAGCAACCGCCTCATAGTCGAACCCTGAATAAAGGACTTTCAATCCACCTCATTCTCAAAGTTAGTACTGAATTAGTTTTTCATGTGATCTCACTGAAAGACAATACTGAGTCTTTGTGGTATTTTAAAACTGTTGCTTAAATATATATCACAATAGTTCAGGGAAAGCTAAACTCTTGATTTTATCTTTTCAATATCAGTATTAAAGGAAAATCAAGAAACATATAAAATGCAATTTCCAAACAAATGAAGTTTATATTTAAGTATCTTTGAAATGGAGATCTACTAAACAGCTAATAAATGTTAACTGAGCACTTACTATATGTCTGTTAATGTGACAGTCGGTATGGGATACAAAAAAGATTGCTTTCACATAGGGATACAATCTAGCTGGCAAGGAGGGCTAACAGGGGGCAAGTAGTCAATGTCTCAATTGATATATGATAATATTTAAAGTGTCTAGTGCAAACAAAGTACTTTGGGAGCTCAGGAAACACAGATCAATATGGGCTAGAGGAATTATAGAAGGTTTCAAAGAAGAGATGGGTATTTAGTGTGAATATACCAGGTAAAGGGAACTGTCTGGTCAAAGAGATTAGAATAACATGCGGTGAGGATTGGGAGAGGGTGAAAAATAAAGCTGGCGTTTCTTGGTTCTAGGGCCCGGTAAGTGGCCAAGCCATTCATTAGGCATCTGAAGGCTTTTGGAACAGGAAGAGACAGTAGTCTTCTCTTGGCTCTGCAGGGGAGCTGACAGGAAGTTGAGTTTGTCCTTGCATCCTGTGACTGTTCCTGAAGACGCCCCAGCCCCTAAGAAGATGAGGCCCAGATGTCAGCCTGGAACAACAGGGGAAGAGAGCAACACTCAGTAGCCCAACCAGCCTTACCAACGTGCTGATGCACATGCTTTGGGGAACAGAAACAACCTGAAGGAAGAAGAAAGCATGTGCAGAGCAAAGTGAGCTGCTCCAAAGCCCACGAGGGACATCCAGGACTGGACAATGCAATAGTTCGTGTTACGACTGCTCCAGCATCAAACTCAGAGGAGGGCTGATCTGGAGCCCATGCCTAGAGCATGCAAACCTGGTTGCAATAGAAGTCGATAAACCATGGTGCCTAGAAATAGCTTCTACATTCTAGGGATCTGGAGAAGCTGCAAGGTATGCAATACTATCTAGAGTTTCCTATTTGAATCAGTTGAAATTCATATGGACTGTGTCACATTAGACGTTCTCGGGAGCTGGTGTCCACCATACTGAACACATTACTGCCATTGTAGAGTATTTTACTCAGTGAATCAGTCTGAAGAATTCAGTGCTGGAGTCTATACGTCCAGTAATTAGGATCTGTCAAGCCCTCTGTGCTTTGGCACGAAGCAACCCAGGAGCCATGATCGTCCCCTTTCCTTCTTGCTCATCTTTTGAGCTCACATAATTTTCAATTTGTGAGGAGCCTTCCTTGAGCTCCTTCTTCTCTCTACAACTTCCACGCACTGTTCTGTATTTTTATTGTCTATCTCTCCAATTTGCCCTGGTTACAGAACAGAAACATTTCCCATGGAATGGTCTCCACCTCATACTTTTATACCAAATAGAGAGGAAGAGGAGGATAAAACAGACAAGAAGATAAGAAAATTTGCTGAGTTTTCACATCTTCAGGAATGCAAATACATGATCTCATGTGGTTTCTATTATCTCTACGTAGCAAACAATAAGCTTCATAGTTATTGTGGCTGAGTAATGAGTCTGAAGTCATAACTAATGAGCATATGTGTTCTCAGCAATCTGCTATGTTGCTCCTCACTTGCTCGGAAAGTTAGATCGGGATTCTTATATAAAAGAATGCATCATTCAACTTTTGGAAAAATTAGAGTTACTGTCTTATTTGATTTGATTTATATACATGTGTCAAGAGAAGGTGCTAAGGTTATGAAATGGGGTAATTAAGTAAGCGGAGGTCTCACTGCACGCAGGGCAACCGACCATCCAGAATAGAGGAGTGTATTTGTGAAGAGATGGCGGTCCAGAGAGTATACTATAGGGTAGGGCGTGGGTCAGAGGCACAGGAGCCGCACCGCTAAACTATTATAACTTTAAGTCAACATGTACGTTTTGCCAGCCATTTCTTTGTGTAGAAATAACTTCCTAGTGCCCTAGTTCATCTGATAAGAAGGCAAGAGTGGGCCGGGCGGTGGTGGCGCACGCCTTTAATCCCAGCATTCGGGAGGCAGAGGCAGGCGGATCTCTGTGAGTTCGAGGCCAGCCTGGACTACAAGAGCTAGTTCCAGGACAGGAACCAAAAAAGCTACGGAGAAACCCTGTCTCGAAAATCAAAA